CCGCCCCCAGCTCTCTGACAGGTGGCTCCGCATCTGTCTTCTGTGCCGCCGTTGCTGCTGCTGCACCAGGGGGCGGGGACTCCACCCTTTCGGTCCTGAGTGAAACCGCTCTACCATTTTTTTAAAAAAATGGCCTCAACCGTGTTGGAAGAGTTAACGCAGGATGTAAAGAGTAACGTTTCCTTTTCTTGCAGGGGATGGTCCAAAACGCTCAGCGTGTGACTTTTTCTTAAGGGCTTACCGTTTTTTTTTCTAAACCTTAGGCTCCAGGTTTGGGAGCGGAGTGGAAGTGGGTACAAAGAAAGGAAGGTCATGAAAACTAGATAGAGTCTCAAATAGAAGCTGAGATGTGCTCACAAGAGCTGATGGCCCATTGGAAAGAGTTCTGGACTGAGAGTTGTAGAAAGACATAGGTTTGGGTCTCACCACTGGTGCTATTTAGCTGCGTGATCTTGAGCAAGGCAAACTTCTCTGGACCTCAGTGTTCTCATTTGTAAAAAAGTGGATTAGAGTTCTGATCTCTAACCAGACTGTAAGCCCTTTGATGACTGAGGCTGTGTCTGATTCATAGTCAGTTTCATCAATAGTAGGCACTCAAATTATTGAATGAATAAGCACACGCTCTCTTGAAGCTGGGGCTGTAGGGTTCTGTTTCCACAGAGCTGGCGGTTTTCTTCATTTTTTTCATTGTTAGTGAAAAAGCATGTGAAGTTTTGTTTATTTTTTTTTCCTAACTTACCTACGGATCTTATATAGCACTTACAATGTGCTGGATATGGTAGTAAGAGTTTTACAAACATTAACTCATATAGTACAGCCATCACAGGAGCAGGGAGTATTATTATGGCTATTTTACAGATGAGAATATCAGTGGAGAGAGGGGCAAGGACTCTTTCCCAGGGTCACATAGATAATAATTGGGGAGCTGGGATTAGAACTTCAGCAGTCTGGCTCTAGAGTCCACTTTCTTATTTAACTGGTTAGATAAGATTAAAACATTCAGTGGTAATACTTAACATCTTCAGAGTATTGAAATATGGAGACTCTTAGAATAGAAATGAAATCTCTAAATTTAAAACAGGAGAGTTTAACTATAAAATCACTAGTGACTAAATTGGAAATAAACTGAGATATATACTATCTTAATATTGTGCAATCCATTCCTGTTTGCATTTTAACACCAGCCATGCTATTGTAATAACCACAGCAATGCTATTTAGCCAAGACTAATTTTTAAAGTGATATTGAGTTTTATTTTCTCATTATATATATATATAATATATATATATATATATATATATACCCATGGACATACTATTTTCATATTTTGGTGCAAAATAGTATTTCACTAATTTGTTTTACAGTCAACCAGTTTAAAATTGTCTTCCTTGCTCTGGTGAAATATATCAACAGAATAGATAATGTTCAAGATTAGCCTATGTGGTTTGAAATTTCCTGGTAAAAGCTCTGTTACCTTGTCTGCAGTTTGAGCTGCCATTCCTTGGCTCTGTGGTATTAGTCTGAGAAGATCCTTGAGATATACAGCTTTGGACCCAGTATAATTCCTGTTGGTCCAGCAGCTCTGTTCTCCTGGCTGCTCAGACTGACACTAAACCTTTATTCCAAATAAGCCTTTGTTTCGTAAACAGCCACTGTAGTTATCTTCAAATATCTGACTGGGACTGCTCAATAACTGGCCAGAGGCATTGAGTGATTCATTCAATCAACATTTACTAAGAGTCTGTTAGGCCTTGAGGACATAAGAGTCTGTTAGGCCTTGAGGATATAAAAGTGAATAAAATTCAGTTCCTGCTCTCAAAGAGCTTATAAATAAATGTGTGGCAGACAGAAATATATTTGGATCCTGAAACTTAAAAATGTTTTTATTTCAAGCAAATGTCTTAGAAGAAATCAGGATTGCAAATGAAGGACTAGAAGACTAGAAGGAAGCAACCTTGTTGGTAGCAGCTGGAATGATCAGCCCAAGAGCAAAGAAGAAATGAGGGTGGTTGAAAGGATACAGTCATTAAGGAGTGAGATAGGCTATACATTCAGAATATAGGGGAGAGCTGAGTTTGGTCTTATAAATGTCATAGATTCAGTTTGGACTTGTAAATGGCCATGATAACAACATTGATAACCTGAAGTGAAGAGGGACCTTGAAGCAATACAGTGTTAAGACAAGCTTTCAAGTCCAAAGTAGATTGAGTCCTAGCTTCTCGGTATGTGGCTTTGAGCAAATTGCTTAACTCTCCAAGCCTTACTTCCCTCATCCATCGAATGAGGAGGAAACAGAATAAGGACTGGTGTGAGGATAAAATATGCACGTAAAGAAAGCACTTGGCACCTAAGAAGTCTTCAAAATGTGTTAGTTATTATTAATGTTACAGAAAAGACCTTGCTTGGCCAGTGACCAGAGGGGCAGATAGGAATACCGAGGCTTGGACTGAAGGCAGAAGCAAAGGGAACTGGCAGGAAAGGAGAACTGGGTTACCTCTTTCTGGCCTTCAGTTGGAGATCTCTCCAAATGGAGCTGAAGGAAGTGCCAGCTGCAAAAGCTGATGGGCCCATCAGGATACCTGAGAGTGCCCTTGTGTGGATCAGCTCTGGTCAGACAGCTGCATACCCTGTGAACTGTCCTGTATAAATGTACTGCCATGTATAAATAATAGGCACATATATATGTAATCTGAAAGGATAAACATCAACCTTGATTGGCAACTTCCAGGAAAGGAGGAGGAATTGTGGGATGGGGAGAGGGAGGGAGATTGAGGACTTGTACTTTTTTCTCTATACCTCTATATTGTTTGACTTTTTCATAATGAAAACAAGTTCATGTGTTGCGTAAAAACAATTAAAAACAAAACCAATCTGATTACAAAAACAAGAAAGAACATGAAAAGTTACCTGCAGAAATTGCTTGTGATCCAAGTCCTGGCTCCCTGATGCCTGGCTAAAGCCACAGCCTACAAGAGACCACAGGGTTAAAGGTCCTGGAGAAAAGGGGAAGTGAAATGTTTAGTGACTATGTTGTGTGTGCCAGTTCCACGGGGCAAGGCACCTGGCAGGCAGTTCCTGCTGGTATGGGAACTGCTTCTCTTTTCCAGGCACCCACTCCAGGCCTGAAAAGTTCAACAAGTGCATGGAACATCAGAGACCTGCAAATGCTGAATTTGCTCCGAGGTTTGCTGAGGCCCATATGGCTTCTCTGGGCAGCCTCCAGGGTCAAGCAGCCCAGCCCTCGGTGCCCTCTCCACCCTGCTCTTCCTGGCCACCAGCAGCCCTCTCTCTTCCTGCATTGTGGCCCTTCCCAAGCCTGCGTCCCAGCCCCGCCCCTCTCTCTGGACGCATCTCTGGGCCCCATCATCACCAGGCGCCAGGCCCTCCCTC